CATTTTTCAGGCTGCTTTCAGTCCGATTTTTGGCGCTCCAGCACCTGCAAAGAAAAATGTCCAAAAAGGCCCAAAACCCACTCTGTTTTTTAGCTGTTTTTCAAGCTGTTTTTCGGACTCTGGCTGGCGCGCCGGAAACCAGAACAGCAGCTGGCAACAGCTCGTGTGCCCACAGAGAGGGCTGTGCATGCCACCTCTGGCAGGTGTGCCATAGATTTGCCATCACGGGGATAGAGAGTCTCCTGGGCGATGCGTTTGTTTTGCTAGAAATGCCTGTGGGCGATTGGGGCCTTAAAATCCAATTTGTGCCTTAAAAACCAATTTGTGCCTTAAAAAAAGAATGACAATTTTAAATGCTCTTCTTTCTTCTTTCTTTCTTTCTTTCTTTCTTTCTTTCTTTCTTTCTTTCTTTCTTTTCTTCTTCTTCTTCTTCTTCTTCTTCTTCTTCTTCTTCTTCTTCTTCTTCTTCTTCTTCTTCTTCTTCTTTTCAAAAAAGGCTTCAAATAATAGGGAACTGATTTATTGAAATATTTGGGTTTTTTTTTTTAAAAAAAAAGATTCTCCCCGCACATATTAAAACAGATATTTGCGGTGAGGGAGGGGGAAGTGATTGTAAAATCAAACTGTGTCAAATTCACAAAATCCTGTATAAAGGGGTTCGGCCTGAATACCTCGCCTGAAATAAAAGGAAAGAAAAAAGAAAAAACATGGTTAGAAGATGATATTTAGGGAAGAGTCTAGCAGCTTTTTTTTTTTTAAGAGAAAAGAATATAAATAAAAAGTAGAGATGTTATGAAGTTTTTTTTCAAAGACATCACCTGTTGCTTTTTCACAAAACCAACCACGCTAAGAAAAAATATTCACAGGAAAAGACAGGAAATGAAAGTTTTATCAAAAATATAAAATCCAATAAACAAACAAACAACAAACAAAACAAAAATTAACCTTGTCTAAATTATTTCCACCTCTTATCTAGTTTACCAAGTTTCTTGGCAGGGCAGCAGAACGGAAGATGAATCAACCAGGGACGATGGATTTTTCAGACGTACTGGTAGTCCTGACTTACATCCATTCATTTACTGACCGTTCAAAGTTACGACGGCACTGAAGCAAGTGACTTATGACCGTTTTTCACATATACGACCGTTGCAGCCTCCCCCAGGATCCAAATTCGGACGCTCGGCCACCGACTCATACGTACGACGGTTGCAATGTCCCGAGGTCACGCGGTCCCCTTTCGCGAACCCTTCCCACAAGCAAAGTCGACGGGGAAGCCAAATTCACTTTGCAACCGTGTCCCTCACTTAACAACCACAGCGATTCGCTTAACAGGCGTGGCAAGAAAGACAGAGAAATGGAGCGAAATCCATTTGGCAAATGGCTCGCTTAGCAACGGGAATTCTGGGCAGGTGGGTTTCAATCGTGGTTGTAAGTCGAGGACTACCAATTACGGGCAATGAGATGCCGGAATAAACACAGATGTTGGAATGATTTACGTGGCCTAACAGAGCGAGGAGAAATAAGAGGAAGAAGAAGAAGAAGAACGGGCGTTACCTGAGCAATGTGCAGCGGAAATCTGACAAGCGGGCGTAAGCATCTTCCCGGTTTCGAACTGTCTTGTTGCTCCACAAACGCTCAGCAACAGCTCCAGCTCTGGGCCTGGAGGAGATTAAAAAGCGTGGCTCAGTTTGGAGAGTTTATACCAGGGGCCAGCAATCAGCGGCTCCGGAGCTGCATGTGGCTCTTTCATCCCGCTTTTGCGGCTCCCTGTTGCCAGGTTAACACTTCTACAGAAACTTTTCTTTTTTTTTCGCACAACCGGGCTGGTTTTTGCTATCTGTGGATGGGCTGTGAGAAAAGCCTTGAGGAACAGAAGGAAGCAAGCCAACCCATTGCAGCAGTCAGATAAGAGAAATTTGAGTCCCGGGGCAGAAATGTATTTTGATAAAGCGTCTCAAGGAAACCTCCCTTGAAGAGAAAGGGAAGGAGAGGGGAAGCGTATGGGGCTTTGCGAGATTCTGTCATTGAAACGTGAGAATAACTCTTACCACAGCCTGGGGGTTAAATTGGTTGCATCCACGTATTCGCCCCACATGCAGGCTTCCCCCCCAATAACCAGTTTTTTCTGTTCTGCGGTGCCTGTTGGAAGAGACACAAAGGTGTTTTGTTTATATCCTGCCTTTATTGTTTTTACAAGTAGCTCAAGGATGTAAATGTATCTGACACATCTTCCACCTCTTTTCCCCCAAAACAACCACCCTGTGAAGTGGGTTGGGCTGAGAAAGAGAGAGAGACAGAGAGACACAGACAGACAGAAAGAGAGAGACAGACAGACAGAGAGAGAAGGAAGAGAGACAGACACAGACAGACAGAAAGAGAGAGAGACAGAGAGAAGGAAGAGAGACAGAGAGATACAGAGAGAGACAGACAGACAGACAGATAGAAAGAGAGAAGAGACAAAGAGAGATACAGAGAGACAGAGACAGACAGACAGAGAGAGAGAAGGAAGAGAGACAAAGAGAGAGACAGAAAGACAGACAGAAAGAGAGACAGAGAGAAGGAAGAGAGACAGAGAGATACAGAGAGAGAGAGAGAGAGAGAGAGAGACAGAGACAGACAGAAAGAGAGACAGACAGACAGAGAAAGAGAGAGAGAGAGAGGAAGAGAGACAAAGAGAGATACAGAGAGAGAGACAGAGACAGACAGACAGAGAGAGAGAGAAGGGAGAGAGACAAAGAGAGAGACAGAGACAGACAGACAGAGACAGACAGACAGAGACAGACAGCAGAGAGAAGGAAGAGAGACAGAGAGATACAGAGAGAGAGACAGACACAGACAGACAGAAAGAGACAGACAGACAAAGAGAGACAGAGACAGAGAGACACAGACAGACAGAGAGAGAGACAGACAGACAGAGACAGACCGAGAGAGAGAAAAGAGAGACAGAGAAAGATACACAGAGAGAGAGAGACGACACAGACAGACAGAAAGAGACAGACAAAGAGAGAGAGAGAAGGAAGAGAGACAAAGAGAGAGACAGAGAGACACAGACAGACAGAAAGAGAGAGAGACAGACAGACAGAGACAGAC